CTCTCTCTCTCTCTCTCTCTCTCTCTCTCTCTCTCTCTCTCTCTCTCCCGGAGAGACAGCACACAGCGCGTGTTCGCTTTAACTGATGCAATAGTGTTTGCATTACATATTACAATGTGAGTATTGTGCGTTTTATTGTATTACGTTTTTGATTTATTTGAATTATATTCGTTATGTATTTGCTTGCGCGCGAGCGAGCACTCACGGAAGATTCACGGCTATGCAATGCATACACAGCGCACATAGATGCATTGGACAATCGCTTTTATACCCAATTAACAGCTTTTCACCCGGACACTCCAAACAGGTGTACGCTTAATGCAATTACTCAAAATCGGTTTAACGCGAACTGACTGAATTACCCGAAAACCATGACATCGTCAAAACGGTATGATGGAATTCAATTATAAAAGCGACGTGCATGACATTTTGGCCGGCTCATTTGAATCTTGCGCTTTAAATGAATTTTTCCACTGGATATTATTAGTGTTATTTGGGCGTAAATTGAATAAATGCAAATAATATATGATCTCGGCATCAAGTTAAAATCAAGATAAATTTGGTTCAGAAGGTTAGATGAGATGTCTAAGCAAATCTTAAACGTTCTACCGTACGAATACAATGTATGCATACCCGTGTGGAAAACAAATGACTGACTGTTTGGAACTGAAATCAACTAATAAGCGACTTTAGTTAACTGAGCAGGTGATTTGTATGAAAAATAGACGACTACGATCAAATTTTAGCCAGTCGCTTAATTTGGGACGTATTTCACTGCATTCAACTTGGGATTGCAGTTAACTGTGATCATTGTTTTTTTTTTTTTACTGAATAATCACTTTTAGCCAGTCGACTATGTCCCAAAATAATCGATTGGTTGCTCAGTCAAAGTATTTTCACACGGGTAGCAATCAAAGTGCATTGCAAACAGGCTTGGCATAGCATATAGAACAGCTCAGAGTAATTGATCTCTCTCTCGGTGTTTTATCGGCAAAATAGCCAATTTTAAATTCACATTGTGAATATGACGTTTGATTTATTGCTTACGCCATTGCGCCGAGATCGAATTGGATACAGTTCTCGAGCCGTACAATTAGCACCGGAAATGAGACATATCGATTACAAACTTTAGAATAGCCTATTTGTCAATCCGAGTAAATCAATTCGTTTGTAATCATCATTGTCATTGTTCGCATGCCCTAAATTTCATGTTCGATTTTTGTTTCTTCTCTTTGATCAAACTCACAATGAAAAAAAAAAATACTGTTGCTCCAATCGACTGACTGATAAAGACACAATCAATGATTTTGCTCATTTCGAATGAGCATGTTGATGTGTTTTCATTGAAATACAACAAAAGTCAGCCAATTAATTTCACAACGTGTAATGTTTTACCAAACAACTGGTTTGTGTATGCAGAAAATTTCACAGTGATTTAAAACTAAAAAAAAAAAAAAATGTTGTTTGGTTTTTACCATTCGAACAAAAGAGAAGAAAGCAACCTCGTTGAAAGTGAATCATATACGATAATGTGCTGCCGATCGAATTCCATCGATATTACGTCGATATACTTTTGTGTGTGCTTGGAAATTAGTCATGAGTTTTGGTTTGGGGGAAACCACTACCTGTGCGGCTGCCTGTTGTTGTTGACAGACTTTTCGTGGGAATGGGTTTTTGATGTAATCAAGTCAAATGGAATGGGCATCTCACATCGGCTTCGTTTGAAATTGGAAATTTTTTTCGCATAATTCGAACGTCAATCATGTGTTTGCTCATGTTTCTTTGTTGTATCTTTGCAGAGTCGTGTGGAGTGTGTGTTGTGTTTTCTCTCGTTTCGTTTTGCGTACCACAATATAGTTTATCGTGCAACAAATCGACGTACTCGCTCGGTCGTTGTCGACGACGTCGTCGTCGTCGTCGTCGTCGTGTGTTTGACCTATCTCAACCCAATCGAAATAATTACTGGATAAAAGACATTATACACACGTTTTTCTCTTAAGAACAAACGGCAAGCAGAACCAGTTCTTAATCTTACTTCTAAAAGGCACTTTGTACCAAAGCGTCGAGATTATTTTTAGAATTCTACATCTCGTTTGGTTACTTCACCTGTACAAAACAATGATATTGTTGTTGTGAGTTTGGATCAAATTCACTTTGAAAAGAGCAGAAAATTCTTCGCCCAATACTTTGTGCATGTATTTTGCAGAGCAAGATGACGCGGGCTTGACGGAAAGTTTTTTTTTTAAATTCCAGGTGAATGTTAAGAACTCGTTGTGATATGGTAAATACGTTTAAATCGAAATCGAAGTATATCGCACATCTATTGTGATGATGAACTATGTCTAGAAAAACAAATGAAATGCGTCCTTGAAATGAAACATTACACATTTAACTCACACTCGCTCTATCTATTTGTTCCCCCTTCCCATGAACTCCATTTCGGTTTCGGAATTCAACCAATTTTGCCTATTATTTTGACGCAAAAGCAATCAATCGCTCGCATATGTTAATGCACACAATAATTTTATAGTCATTTGTTTACATTTGTTTTGCTGCCGACCACTGAACTTCTGTGGATTAACATTTTACATATGTTTTTGTTATTTTTCGTATGCAAAGGCGCAGACGGCCGTGTATTTATGGTCATATGACGACAAAATACAAAGACGGTTTAACGTCAAACATCGCGTGCTTTTCCCCGCGTATCATCACGTAAACCAGTTTTAAGAGGTATTCTTTATCAATATGAGAGAATTTCAAATCTCTGTATGTCAATATTTAAGTGCACTTTGGCAAAAGCAGGGTTTTTTCCCAAATGTTTGCGCGCGAGCTTTGATATTTTGCAAATGAAAATACAGACGTCAATTAACTCGAAATGAATTTGGGATTCAAATCACTTTTCATTTTTTCCACTTTTTTACTAGTCGTCGTCATGGACGGTTCGGTCTCGTTTGCAACGGGTTTGGCAAACAAATTTGAATTTGATTTGTTTTAAATTTGCGGTTATTATACCAATTTCCTTCATTTACAATTTATTATAGTACATAGAAATTAGAAAATTATACACGTGCTTCGAAAATATTGAAGAACAAATTAATCAACATCATTTGCCAATTATATCCGTGGAAAGAAACGAGTAATTACCTTAATACACCACTCATACCAAAAGAAAAATCGATGCAAATAGGAAATAAAGTGCATTTTAAACTGAAGCATCATCTATTAATGAAATGTTTAAAGTCATTTTTTTTTCTCTCTTCCTCTTTCTCTCTCTCTTTTTGCTATTTTCAGGCGGCTCACAAATCTATTGTGGGCATTAATATTGTTGTTGGGAGTTTTATGAGTACCATATCGATGCAGCACGAATGGAGTCTATTTTCGTGACTATAAACTAGACTTTTAAAATTACAATTTATTAGCTTGAATCAAGATTTTGCATAAGACCTATTCGCATAATACAGGCACTTTGGCTGGGCAATTCCGTGCCAGACAAAGGAATGAATAACACTACCACTACCTCCACCTCAATAACTGGAGGAAGTCTAATTACGGCTAAAAAGAACAATATAAAAATAGTTATTTGATTTGAATAATAAGACATTCAACAGCACACGTGTGATAGATGTAATTAAAATCGTGACAATTCTTTTTTTGCGGGCATCGACTTGACTCCATTCAATCTGTAATGCGCATTTGTTTCATGGTTAAATACAGATTTTCGCGACAAGAGTGAAAACGTTGACACTTTAAGCGCAACTAAATTTCGTCTTTAATCTAACCGAAGGCCTGCTACCCATATGTTTTCTGTGCGGTGGAACGAAGCCCGCCGCGTTGCACAGGCGAGATAGTGCACACAGCATTAGCGAGAGCAGTACAGCACACTGTACTGTTCTCGCTCTAACACACACTGCAATGCGTACGTACGTAGAAGCCTAGAGCGTGTGCACTATCTCGCCTGTGCAACGCGGCGGGCTTGGTTCCACCGCACAGAAAACATATGGGTAGAATACACATCTTGAGTGTACAAAAGTGCATACCACTTTATCGAATACAAAGAAAAAAAAATGCAAACAATTGACGCCGATCCAAAAATTGTAAACTGTGCGAGAAAGCGTGCACAATTGCTTTGTACAAACTGGCAAATAATGCATTTTATTTATAATATATCACAAAAGCTCGCTTGCCTGCGCTCGTGCTTTATTTGCATACTAAACTTAATGGAAATAAATTATTCTGAACCAGATCTAATGTCCAGGTGCGCTCACACTGCACACACTTCAAATAATAAATTTTATGATTTACAATATAGATTCTACATCCGAGACGACGGCGGCGGCGGCGGCGGCATCGATTGAAAAAAAGTGCCATTTAATTAAAATTCAATTTAAATTGCATATGTCTGTTTGATTGAAGTGGAACAAATATACTGTCAACTTAATTTAATTCGGTTAGATAACATTTTATTATTTTAATTAAAACTATAATTCGAATTTCCATGTGAATTTTTTTGTTGACCATGTATTTCTTCCAAATGCATTCGCAATTATGCTCCTATGATTTTTCGTATCTTTTTTTTTCCTACATCTCATCCGCTTCTCCACTTTTTATTTGCAATCGAAGATACCGGAGCACCTTGCTCATGTCGAAATGCTGCCGACTGTGCTATTCGTTGTGGCACGGCAGCACGTTCTATATCATTTTTGAGCATGATGGTATTGCGAGTACCATACTTTTGCCAGCGCACACACAAACACACACACACACTGTCTGTATACTATGATTTAGTACAAATATGCAAGCTCCCGAAGAACAAAGCCTTCATCTTTTCTATTGTGTGTACTGTCCATTCAAACAGGAGAACGACAGACGAGAAAAAACGCAGACAAGATGCTCGTTTCTAAAGAATATGACCTATTAGCTTGTAC